GAGGGGCGGGGCCGGGACCGGGACCCGGACCGGGCGCAGGCCGAGAGGGCGGGGCGCCGGGTCCGTGGCCCCGGGAGCAAACTTCGGGTCGAATCCCGTGGCGATCCTTAACCCCGAAACCAAGTTCTCCGGACGCAGCCGCGGCGGGGGGGGACTCGCCGACGGGCAGACCCGGGGCCGGGAACGCGGGGCCCGGGGGGAGGGCTGCGGGGAACCTCCTGCACCGGGAATCTGTCGTCGGGCCCCCGAGTCTGGGCGCTGCCCGAGGGCCCTCCGCTTACCTAGGGGTCGCGCGCCCCAGGCCCTCCTTTCCCGGGCAGCGACACAACCGCTTTTCAGGTTAACTTGATGAACCAGGTGCTATCTGCAAGTTAGCACCTAATAAGGCCCGTAGTAGGCACTTAGTGAAGGCACCTGTCGTCTTGATTTTAGAAAGGACCCGAGTTTTTGTGGGAGGGGAGGAGGGAGGGCAGGAGTAGTCCTCACATTCCTCCCTCCCCTCCTCGTTTTCCTCCCTGCCCCTTCTGATGTGCCTTCCTGCCCACAGGGATACCCACACACCACCCCAGGGTCTACAACATCCACAGTCGAAATGTCACCCGGTACCCTGCCAATTCCATCGTCGTCGTTGGAGGCTGCCCAGTTTGCAGGTATGTCACAGGCCTAGGGGCTGGGCCCCCCAGAAGCCTCTAAGAACACACATACCCACAAGCTCATAAGACAATGTTGGGGGAGTGGGTCAGGCTTGACTTGGGACAAGCTGCTGATCTGCAGTGTGGGAGAGAGTGGCTTCACCCGTCCTAGGGTCTGAGCCTGTTTTGTGGGGCAAGCAGGGTGGGTTATGTTTCCTGGGGACTTGAGTGCTTTTCTGGCCACTGAGTCCAGGTGAGTGGGATGCAGAAATGTTCACTGTTGGGCTGACAGCCTCTAGTCCCCGCTTCTGGGATTTCTGGGATTTCAAGGTTGGTTGTTGGTGGTGGTGGAAGGTTGAAAGGGCAGTTTGAGGTGCATGGGCAGGAGAGCCCTGATCCAGATGGCCAGTGTGTTCTATGAGCTTGAGGTCCAGGAGGCCAGGGGAGCAACGGCTGTAAGGCCTGCTTCGTGCCCAGCAGGGCCATTAGCTGTATGAGGACGGAAACGCCGTGGTTCTTTGGAGCAGGAGGGATTTTTCGTATCTTCAAAAGGGAGCCTCCAGAATCTTCTGATGACTGTTTTTATTGGGCCTGAGATGCAGCTAGCTAGACTTTTGTTCTTTGTGGGTCCTGAGGATTCAAATTGAGATAAGACTTGGTTCCTGCCCTTGGTGGATTCGAGTGCTCACACAGTTTAGAAAGTCAGAGCAGACTTGGCAAAGACCAAGTTTTCAGCGTCTAGGAGGAGGAAGTTGCAGTCTCCGAGATGAAATTGAGAAACTCTGGTTTACACTTAGACTTAATTTCAAAAGTGTATCTGGAAGGGCCGGGGTGGACCAAAAGGAAGTTAAGGATTTCAGAGTCACAGAGGGCAACGGTGTGGGAGACAAGGGCCTGGGAAGAGGGAGGGCATCCTGGAGATGGAGGCAGGAGGCTGGACCCCTGGAGCCCACCTTGTGCCTAGTAAAGGGGGGCGTGGGCCAGGGAGAGCCCGGGGGCTGCGCGCCAGTCAGGGGATGCCCATTTGCAAACCCCCAAATAGGTGTCTCTTCTCACACAGCTGGTGAAACATTGGCCTTTGGAGAACATGAAGGGGGTGGGTGGAGAGGGCTGACAACCGGCCTTTTCTGAAGGCTGCTCTCCATGCAGCCCCTGGGGGCGGCAGAGCTGTGGGGGTTTGAAGGCAGTTGGTGGGCTTGGAGAAGAGGGGGCACGGACTGGCAGTCTGGCCACATGCTGCAGTGTGGGGCAGGGGTCAAGGTTTGGTCCCAGGTGGAGAGAGCCACTGGGAATCTTTCTGGGAAGTTGCACGAGGAAGTGGGTGGCGGGAAACCCGCTGTATTTTGCTCTGTGGCTGGTCCTGGGTGCTCAGAGCCATGCTGGGTGCACGGCCCTTCTGTCCCCACTCAGCTCAGCTGGAGGAGTTCAAGGGCCTGTTTTTTGTGGCAGAAGTCTTTGAGTGATCTCCCGAGTGTAAGGGGGGTGTCAGGCTGTCCCAGCCAGTGCCCAGCCTGCTGGAGGAGGTGGGTTCAGATCCTGGCCCTGCCAGCTACCAGCTGGGCCTGTTTCCCTATCTGGGAAATGGGGGTGTCTGATGGGATGGTCTGTGAGGCTCTTGACCAGCAGCAAGGCTGTGTGGCCAGCAGAGGCCGAGGTGTCCTGAGGGCTGCGGACTTCCGGGTCCCTGACCATGCTGCCGGGTGGGGAGCATTTTCCTGATACCTCTCTTTCCCTAGGGTGGGAGCTGTGTCATTTCGGAGGCCTGTGGCTTCTGCTAACCAGGGCCCCATGGCCCCAGTCATACAGAATCTGGATCAAGGTCAGGCTGTGCTCTGCTCTTTTGGGGAGGGGCTTGGGGCTGTCTGAAGGCTGAGGGGTGGGGCGCCTGCATTTGGGAAGAGGCTTCTTCTTTTATGTTGGGATCCCTGTTCTCATTGCCTCTGGGTGGTGGGTGGCAGGCAGTGAGGGGTGGGTGCTCTGAGAACAAGTTTGGGGGACTGAATTGGGACCAAACACTCTGACTCCGTCTGCGGCATGTCCTCCCATGGTCCCTTTTGTGTGTGGGTTGAGAAGGACGGATGCCAGCAGTAAGGGCCCTTCTAGCACTTGGGTTCTTCATACACGAGTGTTCCCTGGAGAGCGGGCGGCCTTGGCTGCATGAGGCCTTTCTCTGCCTTCTCAGTGTGTGGGGTGTGGGGCACGGCTCCCAGGCAGCAGGCTGGGTGGTGGGCAGGGGAGATAGGCAGCAGGAAGGAGGGAGAGGCTGGGCGCTTCCCGAGGAAGCGCTGCTGTGGTTTGGGGAGTGGGTGCGTGGTCCCTGGGGCTGGTCCCTGGGGCGGCTCCTCTCTGGGGAGAGTGGAGAGGTTTCCCCCGGGGCACAGTCCAGTGTGGCCATCGTCTGGTGTTGTAGGGTTGGGAGACAGGCCGCTTCTCACATGACCACACTTCTTCCCTTTCCATCCAGCCCGCCAGGCTCTGTCCCCTTCCCTCCCCGGTGGCTTGGCAGGAATTTGCAAAAGTCACACTTCTGTGATTCCCTCTGAGGCCTGGTGTTAAGAGGCCTGTGTCACTTGTCACTTTGCCATTGTCTGAGCCTTCCCTTAAGCAGCCTGACTCCATCTTCCCTTTTTAGCCAACTACAGGAGCCTTTCTTTCAACCCCGGCAGATGAGTGAGCGTGCTTCTCATCTCACCCCTGCCCCGCCCGCGGCCTCTTTGGACTAAGCAACACCTTGGCTAGATGGGGCTTCCGCCAGGCCCCCTGTCTTCCCTGGGGGTGTGGGCTGTGTCTAGGTGCAGGACAGGGTGCAGCACCTTGGCTCTGGGAGCTCAGGCCTGCCGGGGTCCCCCTGGGCTGCAGTGGGGCGGCCTGTTGAGAAGGCGCCCTGGGCAGCACAGGTCAGAGGCTGGAAGGTGAGTAAAGCAGTATGCACAGGGCTCCCCACCAGCGCTGGCTGGGATCAGTGGGTATTTGGTTTTGGGGGTGACCAGAGACGCAGGAGGAAATCCAGGAACGGTGGGTCTTGGAGGCCAAGAGAGAGGCTCAAGGAAGAGCTGTCAAGGCAGATGCTGCCCAGAGATCAGGGCAGTAAGGTCCAGGATGTGGCCCTGGGTGGTCAGTGTGGAGGCTGCTGGTGACCCTGGGAGAGCCCTTGCAGGTGGAGGCAGGCTGCGAGGCTGTGACCTAGGGCACAGGGTGACAAGGTGGAGTGTATGGAGGTGTCATGAGAAGGGGCCTGTGACAGAGCCTTGGGCTTCTGGACGGTGGGCCGCGGGCGGGCAGTGGAGGGGCTGCTCCCTGTCATCGGGGTGTGAGCTCCTCCCGTCGTCTGTGACCTTGAAGCTGGGGCTCCAGCCTTGCCTTGGGGAGGTGCATGTGCCTGGGCTGGCTAGAAAACAGGCCGCCGGGATGGGCCCTGCCCACGTTCCCAGCCTGTGGGCTCCCTAGCTTGAGTGGGGAGCAGCAGACAGATGAGCCGAGACTCGTGCCCTGGGCTGCACTGGGCAGAGTGTGCAGACCGTGGGGACCCAGGGCCAGCTGTCACCTGCTGGCTCTCCAGGGAGCGCTTGTGGCCTCTTCCAGTCCAGCTGTTGCACGACTGAGCCTGGCTGGTCCAGAGTGAGTCTCAGGCAGGTCTTGCCGCCTTGTGGGCCTCCCGGAGTCCCTGATCTCTGGCTCAGTTCCGCTGCAGGCAGAGTCGTACCCTGGTGTCTGCAGGGGTTGGGTGTGACAGAAGACCTCCAGACACCTGCACTCGCCAGGGCTGTCTTCTGCTCAGGGAGACTCGAGGCTACCTGGTCATCAGGCTTGTGCAGAACTGGCCCTGGAATGGCTGACGGCCCTGTGGAGGTCCTGAGAACTGCCCCTGACAAGGCAGCTCCCCCGCCCCCATGGGAGGCCTGTTTGAAGTGGAGACCCTGGGACAACCGGAGGCCAGGCAGATGCACCGCCCAAGGGGGTGAGGTATGACCTGCTCACTGAAGGGGGCTGGCTGGGTGCTTTGGGGCCATCTGGAGGAACCTCTGCTCCCTTTTCCTGAAGAGGCTTGTCCTTCCAGTGAGCGCTGGTCTGGGGGTTGCTCCCAGGGCTGGATCCTACTTGAGGCCAGCCTGTGCTCAGCAGAAGTGAGTAATTAGGGATGAGCCAAGAGGTTTGCTGGAGTGTGTGACACTAACTGCCCCTCGGGGGGTGGGGTGGCACTCAGAGGGCGGCTCCCTCACTTCTGGGTGAGGTCTGGATTGTTCCCGGCCGCCCCGCTTGTTGCCGGAACAAGGTTCTCCAGCTTCTGAGAAGGGGACAGTGATGGTACATGGGCGGGGTTTCTGTGAGGAATACAGGAGGTGGCAAGGATGCGATTCTTACTGGTTGGGTACCGGCCTTGGGGTGCTCTCGGGACGTGTGGGCTGCAGGGCCTCCATCATCTCGCTCATCCTGGAGCCCCTCCCAGGCCGGCTCCCTGGACAGACAGATGTCAGTGGAATCGTGTGGCCACTTTCTCCATAAGGTTGGAGTCAGGAGTTAAAGAAGCGTTTTCAGAATTAGTCAGTTCTCTGATTTCTCCAGCTTCTATATCCTTCCCTGACCCCCATCCCCCATGACCTATTGCTCAAGAATGGGGGAGGGGCCTTCCAACCACAGCTAGGGCGACTTGCTTAGTAGTTTGGATTCTGAGCCATTTGATAAATATTGAAACTTGTCCTGAACTGATTGGGGCTGTTCAGGAGGTTTGGAGAGGAAGAGAGTGTGAGGCTGTTTGGGAGAGGCTGCCAGGAGGGCAGGGACCCTCACAGGGACAGGTCTGCTCTGCAGCCTGCGGGGTGTTGCTGCATCAGGATTGGTCTAGAGACAAGACTGTATTTCTCAATTTAGAAGATTTTTGGGTTTTAAAAAGCTGTAAATTAGGGGCTGGCCCAGTGGCGTAGTGGTTAAATTTGCACGTGCTCCACTTCGGTGGCCCGGGTTTCGCAGGTTCAGATGCCAGGCGTGGACCGATGCACCACTTGTCAAGCCATGCTGTGGCGGCGTCCCATATAAAGTAGAGGAAGATGGGCACAGATGGTGGCCCAAGGCCGACCTTCCTCAGCAGAAAGAGGAGGATCGGTGGCGGATGTTAGGGCTGGTCTTCCTCACAAAACCTGTAAATTATGCCAGTATTGCTTTTAAGGTCGGGGGCAGTGCTCCCGGTTCAGACATTAATATTTCTACAGCAAGACACAAATAATTCACAGTAAGTGGATAAATTAAGACTATAAATGGCCACACATCAGGTCACGTGTGGCTGCCACGTGAGTTTGCTACAAACTTATAAAAACGTTCTGCTGTCAGAGCTTTTTGGTATTTGGAATTGTGGGTAAGAGCTGTAGACTCTTGGGGTGGCAGGTGTGGCACCCGACGACTGACTGACCCCCTGCTCAGTGGCTCCTGCTGACCGGGCAGATGCTGTTGTCCTGTCCCTCATCCCCAGAAGCAGTGTACTGGGTCAGGTGGCTGCTCTCAGCGGAAGGTGGTCAGGGTCTGGATTCTGCTCAGCTCCCTCACGCCCTCCCTCTTCCTGGAGACACAGTGGCCTGGCCTGGCTGTCTTTTTAAGAGCAGAGAGAGCCCCTGGGGGCTCCACTCTGGGTGGGCAGGGCTGGGGAGGGGGCCTAGGGGTCTGGCAGGTATCAACCCTGTGCTCCTGACTCAGGGTGGCCCAGGCTGCTGGGTTTGGGGAATGAGGGGGGTGTGTTCCTCGTGCCTGGGACACCGAGGTGGGCCGGGTCAGCCTGTGTTGCCCATTGCTCTGCCTACCTTTTAAGTTCCCAGAGCAACTCCAGAGGCTGAGAACACGTGGTGGTGGGCTGAGATGCCAGGCCTCCTGAGGCTGGTCTCGCCACTGCTGGGAATCGCAGTGCTCAGGTGGGGCCAGTCTCCTGGCCTCATGGCAGTGAGGGCCTGGATGAGAGAGTAACCAGTGCTCCTGGGCTTCCACTGGCTTTAGCAGTGTAGACCAGGGTTTTGGGGTCTACTTGGAGAATTAGGGAAGAGGCAGGTGGGGGCTGCTGCCCTTTGACATTTGACCCCAGAGGATAGCAGCAACCCACAGACGGGACGATTCATGTGGACAGGTACACTGGGCAACATAGGGGAAGCCTCTGTCTCCAGGCGTCTCCACTGCAGGGAGACTGCACCACTGGAGGGCTTCTCCAGTGGGGGTGCTGGGTGCTCCTGTGCATCCCTCCAGGGCACTGGGGACAGCAGGGCAGGACTGCCCTGGCCCCAGCCTCCTCCTGGGTATCTCCTGAAGTCTTTGAGCAGACACACTGGGATCTAGGCTCTGTCTCTTTTTTTTTTTGTGAGGAAGATCAGCCCTGAGCTAACATCCATGCCAATTCTCCTCTTTTTGCCGAGGAAGACTGGCCCTGGGCTAACATCCGTGCCCATCTTCCTCCACTTTATATGGGATGCCTGCCACAGCATGGCCTCAGAAGCGATGCGTTGTTGTGCGCCCAGGATCCGAACCTGGGCCCCCAGCAGCGGAGTGCACGCACTTAACCACTATGCCACAGGGTCGGCACCTAGGCTCTATCTCTTAACAGCTTTGATCCTTAAGTGAAATATTATGGAGTGTCCAGCCTGGGGAGGTGCTCAGCCAGGCAGTCACTGTCCTCAGACCTCATTGGTCCCTGGAGGGGATGCTGGGCGAGGTACCCTGATAACTCCTTTAGAGGGTGGGCTTCTCCTTTAGAAGGTTCTCAGCTAGGGCAGGTGAGTCAGCTGTGGGGGGTGTGGTTCACTTTTGCCCTCTGCGTTTTTCTTGGACATTCTAACTGAACATGCAGACCGATGTGGTTCTTAGGATTGTAGCTGTGGGTAGAACGTTGGCGTAGACCCGGGAGGAAGCAGGAGAGTGGAGCCTGGGTAGTGCCATAGCACCCGTCCAAGGCCACCTCCAGCTGCTCTGGAAGTGGCCTGATGAGCATCAGTAGTTGTAGGAGCCATTGGGCCATGACCATGGACAGAGCAGGGATGTTCCCAGCCCAGAGCAGCCTGTCATGTCCACCTGTGTGTGGGGACACAGCTGGTGGCTTGGGGCCTTCCTGAAGCTGCCACCCCCTACTTAGGCAGCATGGCCTCAGATGCTTTTTCAGCTGGGGCAGGGGCAGCCACAGGGGAGGGCTGAGGAACAGCATGACCTGACCACTTTTGTGGGACTTTAGAGGGGGACTCCTGTTGCAGGACTTTTGTGGAAGTCTGTACAAGAAATGGTAACTCTGCTGACAGCAATTCAGGCCTCCTGATTAGCTCTCCCTTCCACGGGGCCTCGCTTGTGCCTGCTCCAGCCAGTCAGCACGCATGCAGAAAGGGCAGCGTCAGTGAGTCTGGGAAACGCCGGGTGAAACAGAGTTCAACAGGTGTCCTCACTGCAGGACTTCTCAGGACCTTTCCCCCACTAACGTGCACTGTGACTCCAGGAGGGGAAGAGAGGCAGTTTACCCGAATTGACCCAAGAATCCCCCCTTCTGTTTTCTGCAGGGCTTCTCAGGGGGACTGGTGTTTCAGGATGAGCACCCTTGGGAAATGCTGCTCGAATGTACTGTCCTTGTAGGTGTGTTTTGAGTGGGAGAGAGGTGGGCACTGAGTCTTTTTCTTTAAGCAGTTGAGAACCCGACTTCCTCTTGGTCTCGTTCATATTTTCACGATCCCCAGTGAAGCAGGGAGCAGGTCCCGCTCCCATTCCCATAGCCTGGCCTGGTGCCCACTCCAGCCGGATCCAGCTCCGGTCAGTGCGCGGGCGCTGGCCTGGTGGTTGGGACGGCCGCGAGCAGTAGCGTCCTCGTGGGCTGTGACTTTCTGAGAAGGGGCGGCAGCAGCAGCTTTGGCGTTTTGAGTTGAGGGAGCCCTCTGTGTTTCGGCGCTTCACCTTGACACTTGTGTGCTCTCTTGTTTATTAAGCTGAACCTTTCTTTCCACACAGGGTGGCAGAACGAGGAGCAGCTGCTTTCAGAACACTGTGGGCATAAAGGATCCTTAGCAGTATTTGAAGGCAGGGGCGTGGACAAAGTGGCTTCAGAAAGACTGAGGAAGCTGGGATGAACCTGGGGGGGTATGGGGATGGGGTTCTGGGGGTCAGTGACGTGTTCTCTGCTCTAGCACCTCGAAGGCAAGATCACTGAGCGCTTTCCTTGTTTCAAGCAGCGGGCCAGGCCTTCCTGCTGAGTGTTCTGCCCCTCCCCCGCCTCCTGCCTAGCCCTTTGCAGTCACCTCCTGGACACCCTCCCTGAACGCCCTACTCTTCTCTCCCATTTCTTCCTTCTCAGTCCTCAGTGGTGGATTTGGCACATTTGTTCTGGCAAAGTGCCTTGCCTGCCACACGCCCTCAGCTCACAGCGTGGTGGATGAGGGCTGGAGGTGTCCCAGACACCCCAGCCACCTGGGAGGGACTTGTTCCGGCTGGCTTTCCTTGGCTTCTGGGTTGGTCTGGTGGGAGTGAAGCATTTCTCATTAGGGCTGAGCTGGCTACTGGGGTTCTCATTTTTTTAATTTACTTTTTTGGTAAGGAAGAGTGACCCTGAGCTAACGTCTGTGCTCATCTTCCTTATTTTGTACACGGGACGCCTGCCACAGCATGGCTTGATGAGTGGTGTGTAGGTCTATACTCGGGATCCGAACCCACAAACCCCGGGCCGCCAGAGTGGAGCTTGCAAACTGAACCACTACGCCACCGGGCCGGCCCCGGGGTTCTCATTTTAATTTCAGCTCTGTGTCCAGAACTTTCCAGAAGTAGCCTAAGGAACAGTGGCAGAGCTGAGCACATGGCTCCTACTTCTTATCTGGGGGCCTTTTAAAAATGACCTTTGAATCTGAGTGGTGACTATACTCATTGGCATATGAATTGGGTGATGTCCCCGGTATTATATATTATGCACATTGAAGGTAAACTTGACTTTTTTCCCCCCGAAGAGGAAGCTTTGAGATGAAATTTCTTGAGATTAATGGCCTTAAAGACATTTGTGTGAACATAAGTGATTTTAGTCTTTCACTAAAATCTGTCCCATGCCTCCCTCCCCCCAAACAATAAAAATCACAAATAATAAAAATCAAACAAAGTTCTGAACTATTACTTTTTTGGAATTTCTCTCTAGGGAGTGGAAAAATCAATCTAAAACTTTTCAACATTGGGAAAAGATACCCTAAAATGATCTGGTTTTCTTGGTCCTCTTGTTTTCAGAGATGCAAGAATTTTTATAGAAATTAGCATTTGCTTCTTGTTCTTCCTTTTCTAAGAGAACACATGTGGCAGATTATAAGGCAACTGAATGTTCTTGCCTTTATATGTAAGTGATGATACTTTTCAAGTAAGTTTTCTTCTTCCCCTCTTCACACGTTCTGCATAGTGACTGCAGCAGTAGCTTGCCTTCGCTTCGGTAAGGGGGCACATGCAGACAGTTCTGGTGGCTCTCAAGGCTGATGTGTTTGTTGCTGGAGGGGTGAAGACTGCCTTTGCCGGGGTCCTGTGTAATGTCAGCTGTCAGTCTGTCCTGGTGTGTGAGGGTGGGGCCTTCCCAGATGTGGAGGGGGCTCTGGGTCAGGGTCTGAGGGGACATCAGGCCTCAGGCTCCGCCGAGGGCCCTAACCCTAGTGCCCCGCTCTCTCTCTCTCCGCAGAGTCGGGGTTTTGGAGGACTCCTTCACCTTCCTGGGCATCTTCTTGGCCATCGTCTTGTTCCCCTTTGGGTTCATCTGCTGTTTTGCCTTGAGGAAGCGAAGATGCCCCAACTGTGGAGCAAACTTTACTTAAAGGGAACAACACACCTGGCTTTCCTACATCCAACTATCTTTTTCTAATGTAAATGTCGTGTACAATAGCTTTATTTGATTAAGCTTCAGGACTGTTTTGTAAAGTGAGGCGGGATAGATTTGGCATGTGCTAGCCAAGGTTTCACGGGCACAGGGGTCACAGAGTGTGGACGTGCAGCAACACTGCTTCCAAGGTTAATGACAACTCAATAAAGCACTGCTTTTATTTTTTGCAGTCTTCAATTTGAGAAAGGTGAGAAATACTGTTTTAAATAAATGAGATTCATACCATTGTTTACCTGGTTCTGCTTATTCAGTGTTTGTACACTGCCACTGATATATACAAAATGGAGAATAGAATAACATACCCATCGCCCAGCTTCAGCATTCTCCAGTCATGGCCAATCTTGATTTTCTGTTATTCCTCAGTAGGCATTTACAGCTCAAGAAAATGTGCTTGTTTTCAAGTTCTCTTTTATTATTATAATGAAACATAATACCTTGACATTTACAGAGCATACACTTCAGTGCCAAGGACCTAAGGCAAGCCCTCCCATCCTGTGTGAGGCAGGTAAGTGACCACTGCAGTCCATTCTGTGAAGGTGTGGACTGGGGTTGGGTGAGCCAAGTGGGTCTGCAAATTGCATCTAAAAATCCCAGGACCTATGATATCCGTGTAACAAAGCCAGAAGATCCCAGAGTGGAGCTCTAGAGGCCAAGGCCAGGGCCAGGGCATGACACTCCCACCCCCGTATTAACACACTTCCAAAATCGACACCTCATTCCCTCTCCATTGTTGAAAATAATGGGCGGCCGTGAACTCGACTCTTACTTAGATGGTGAGAGGAGCAATGGGCCACTTAACTAAATTTGATTGTGTTTTCTTTGCTGGCTGGAGCATCTTAAGACAGGTGTGCTGCTTGACAACTGCAGTTAGCATGATTCATTCAGTCCTGGGGGAGCCCTCACAAGGTCCTGCATTGTCAGCCCTCGGTGGGGTCCCCTGGTTTGGTGAGCCATCCAGGAGGACAGGACCAAGAACCTAAAGCATCACACACTTAAACTGGTTTACCTGCATTTGACCTTGACCAATTTCAAGCTTATAGAAAACTCATATTTATGGTGAGACCAAAGGACCTGTGATAAGTAACAAGCGCCCTTTCCCTGCCTACACACAGTGCATGGCCTAGGTGTGAATTTTAATCATGATTCTCCACTCCTCCAAAACAGAGCCTCATCCCTGACAGCCAGAGACAAACTTGGCCACTTGCTCAGGGTTCCTCCCACAGAAGCCCAGGTTCCCAGAGTGTGACGGCAGGTCTCAGCTGAAATGCAGACCTTCCCCCTCCCAGGCTCACAGAGGTCCTCCTGGCTTTATAAGCACTGATTGCCGGTCAGTACCTGATTCAAAAGTGGAGAAACCTGGACCCCAAGAGGTTTCAGAGTAAATTAGTGAGGGAGGCAGCTTTGGTCAACTGGCTTATGGAGAACACCCAGGTTACCACATACGTGGAGTCCTCAGATGCACTCAGATGGATTACCCTATGAACCAGGCCCACATGCAGCATGGCCTGGTGTGTTTTCCTCGGACAGTCCAGTTGGTAACTCAGAACTACCAAATTTGGTAGCTCCTGGGAATTCTTCAAGTACTAAATACTATGGCTGTGAACAGGGATGGGCAAAATGTCTTAGCACTCTATAGCTATGTCTAAATTGTGGGAAAGTTGGAGATTTCTCCACCTAAATTTCTATTAATTTGGTAGCTCTACATTTGATTAAACAAAAATTTAAAAAATTTTAAATTAAAAAATAAAATTTTATACAATATTCTCATAATTTATATTGCTTAAAATTATGATTTGCATGCTAAGATGCAAATTTACACAATATTTTCTAGATATACATCATAATGCTACTTAAGAGCACATGCTTTATAAAATAAAACTGTGGTCTCTTTTGCATTCAGGTACAGAAAGCCAGTCATGAAAGCATCAACTATCCCTTATTCTGGCTATTAAAAAAATAATCATAGAATATTAAAAAAAAAAGATACAATAAGGATTGGAACCAAATTTACTGTTTTTTGAACAGAATAGGAAGAAACTATTTTAAATGATTGAGTTGGTCACTAAACTATTACTCATTTATCTTCTTAAAGACAGAAATGTGTAAACCCAACCATGTTAAATTGAGAAAATGCATTGATTTGCTCAAGTAGAATACGTTTAAAATCAGACACCCTCTGGTAAAGCGTTACGACAGTTACAGCACATCTCACAGAATATATACCTAACATTTTGCAAGTGAGAACTTAGCATTAGAGGAACCAGAAGGATTCCTTGGCCACCTTCTCATCGAATGATTGGTGCTGATCGATCATTTGTCACTGTCGGTCGGAGTTTCACAGTAGCAAAGGGGTTTTCTCCACTGTGGGGGAGAGAGAAAAATGGCTGTAGAAATAGTACAAGATGGGAATTTGATTTTAAAAGAGCTAATAACTATTGTTTTTACTCTGTAAATTATGTAGCCTATATAAATTCCAGACACCATTTTCTGAATATTCAAGTTTCCCTCTGTGGCGTATCTCTCCATGCCACCCATTATAGAACTATCCACACTTTTAAACATTTTTGACATAGGAGAGCCCAACTCTGTCGTCCTGTATGGGGGGTGGGTTATGTGAGAGAGCCATCTAGGGCAGGGTCTGGATTAAACTGCCAGATGCAGTGTGTGACCAGGAGACCTCCCTTCTGGATCCAGGCAGATGCTGGGCAGACCCTCAGGGCCCTACTCCCCGGAGGACTGTGATGAGAACAACGGGCTGCATTCTTCTCTGACCCTACAGGCCTGAGGCCTTTCTCAGGATTGGACCTCCTGGGCTGTACACTAAGGCAGGCCCTTCTGGGGGAGGCTACAGGCCACACACCAGCAGGGAAGGGCAACTTCCAGCTCAGAAGGGATTTATGGAGTAAGTTAGACATACCTGAGAAATGGAGGCTTTGCAGTCCCATTTGCATCCTTCTGTGAGAAAAATAAAGATCAAGTTTATGGACGGCTCATGAAATTGGGGCATTTTTAGTAAGACCTGAAGGTAAAGACATTTAAGTTTAAAGCATAAGGGACTGTTTAAAGCTATACATGTTTAAAAGTGCCCTGTCGTCTCCATTCACTGGAGACTCTCTAGATAGCTATCTAAATTCACTTGAAAGCGGAAGGGCAAGAACAGAAAACATTCTGAAAGGCAGGGAGGGAGCCTCCCAAGAGCTGGGACATCTCAGACTTGGAGGGAGAACGTGGGGCCACCTGTTCCTCACCCATCACCTTTCAGGCGCAAGAGGCAGGTGGCTTTCTGGGTGCCCAGGCCTGAATGATGCCATGAAAAAGCAGTAAAAATAAAACCTTGCTGGGTTTTGGTGCCCACAGACTGGTGCCATCTGCTAGCCAGAGATCTTGTAGCAAGTTCCATAAAGTGAGGAAAAGAGAAGATGGAACAGTGCAAACACTCTGCCTTCAGGAACTGCCAGAGCCTGGCAGCCCTCGTGGAGCCCTGGGCCTCCACTTCCCAGGGACTCGGGGGTCTCCCAGTGTGGCCAGGGACCAGGTGTGTGTGTATGTCGTCTTTCCCTCATTCCAAGAAGCTTGCTGCAGGCTTTACGAATCTGCTTTAAATCTGCTCTGGCTGTTCTAAGAAGTCACTGGCCTGAGGTTTGGGGCTAATTCTCAGATGGCTGCCCAGGAGAGGGCAGTGTAATGCTGTCTGACCAATGGGCTGCCAGACCAGACCTGACTGTCCTGAAAGTTCCCAGGACTCCCTGTGGTCTCAGGGCGCACAGACCTCTGAAGGCTGACTAGGTGGCTCCTCTCACTTCCCATTGCCAGCCCCAGGGGCTGAAGGCCACGCCTGGAGGTGGAGGCCCAGGCCAGGGCTCCTTTGGGACAGCCGCCACTGGGTGTTGGACGTATAGACTCGCGAGGCAGAAGGCAGGCTGCGGGCACCAAGGCTGACGTCAGACCTGCCCCTGCTGTCTCTGGGCCTCTGGGGACCTCACACCTTGACCTTGAACCCTGGGGCCAGCAGGCCAGCAAGATCATCCTAATGGGGAGCCCCAGCACCAGAAGGCAGTCTCCAGTCAGCCCGGTGCCCAGATTCAGTATCTACTTTTCATTACTTAACGCACAAAGGAGCTGCCCTGCTTGGTACATCCTAATAGGGCTTTAAATGGTTGCAAAATAGTTTCTTCCTACAGGGCATGCTGAGCTTCTTCAGAGTAAGTCATTTCTGGGTAATGTTCATATTACATGATGATTAAGGACTAACTTATGATATATTTTAAAAATACATCAGGATGCCTGTCATGCAGTCCCACTTAGAGTGCCAGTATTAATGTATCACCTAGAGCAGAAGGCCCAGAGTGAGAGCCCCCAGGGCTGGGGAGGCACCAGAGTCCACACTATGAAAAGGCCTCCTGTGGCCCACAGGTTAGGAGGAAGGGCAGCTGAGTCCTCGCAGCCTGGAAAGTGCACTTCCTGCCAAGTCAGACTCCCTGGGCGCGGCCTCCACGGGGCATTGCTTCAGCCCCAGAGGCACACCCAGCCCTGTTCCTCCTCCACACTCACTGGAAACCACCTTCTTTCTGCCTTGCCTTGGGACAAACATTCCACATCTCCCTCCCATCTGTATCCTCAAGTTTGAGGAAAGCTCTCTCTGCATCCTGAACTGGAAACAAGAAACACAACCCCACCTGGGAGTACCCCCAGCTGTCCTCAAGGCAAAAAACCTCAGAGCTTGTTCCCAGAGGGCCTCCCGGGCCCCGACTGATCCAACTGGACTTTAGAACGAGGTTAGCCACGTTTTAACAAGCTGTGTCAGCTGGGTGCTTAGCCCACAACATTTGAGAGAAACAAAAACAGTGGACGAGGTGCATCACAGTCCATCCTTGAAAGTAAAGTGGCAAGAAGTAACCTGTGTTGTGAGGTAGGAGGGCAAAAATAACTCTTAAGAAGACAGCTTGAAGCCATTTAGTATTGGGACAAACTTGGGTCCTGGTGTGCACCTCGCATCCCGGCAAGCCCACTCCCAGTTGGTTCAAGCCATGCACACGGGCACCAAGACTCCTGCCAGGATGCTTAGCGCAGCCCTGTCATAACAGGCCAAACTGCGAACACCCAAATGGACAACAGCCTTCTATCCAGACGGCAGAGCACTACACAGCAACGGAACGCCACAGGAGGACATGCTGCTTGGTTCTGTTCACGTGAGGGCCAGGCCAGACGGGCCATCTCAGTGTGGGAAGTTGGCACAGTCTGGACTGTGAGAAGGGACAGTACGGAGAGGGACTTCTGAGGGGCTGGTAATGTTCTAGTTCTTGGTCTGGTGCTGGTTATACATAGTTATTTTGTACAGCGTCATTGTGCACTTCTCAATATATGGTATTCTTCATTGTTTACTTAAAAAAATAAGACTTTTCCAGAAATGTTTCCCCTTTAACACACCTCCTATTGAGCCCATTGCTATTGTCTCAGCTGACCACCGTACCCAAACCTGCCCCTCTTCTCATGCTCCCTTTCCGCTCAGTGAAGAACATCTTCAGGCCAGAGCGGCACTGCCTTCATTGAACCAGTGAGCCAAGCTGCACATTCTACTCGAAGCATCTTCAGAATCTCCCCACCTCAGACCTTAGCGCACAGCCCCATCCCTCTCACTAGTGGCCACCTCCAAAAGTTCCAACCTGAGCTTGTCCCCCTGCTGTTTCCCTCAGGCTGTGCCTGAGGGTCTCCTTGTCTCTGCACTCCCTGATCCCATCTTTCCCTCCTCCACCATCTGGCAAATGCTGCCTCGTGCTGCAGGATCACCAAGGTCTCTGGAGGCCTTGATCCTCTATGTTCCTAGGCCTAACCTGTCTCGGTAGGGCTCCCACAGGCCTTGCCTCACAGGCCTCAGCAGGCTGTGAACCTCTTGTCTCTCCCCTCAGTACCCGTACAGTGCAGGGCACACGGCATATACTCAGAACACCTCTGTGGAACTAAGCTGCCCAAAGTCCCACAGCCAGTTTGCAGAAAAACTGATCCTTACACGTCATGGGCTTTGCTCTGCCCATGGAACTCAGTACAGTTCCCCATCTTAATGCTTTTCCTCAGACTTTACAATGCATGACTCAGGCACTGGTCCCTCTGGCTGGGCCAGTGCCCGTGGCCTGCAGGTACAGCCTGTTGCATGTTCTGTGTCCCCTCTTGACAGCCAGCATGGTGCTGGTCCAGAGTGTACTCAACAAGACAGGAGATCATCAAGGCATAAAACCAGGCACTGATAGGGGCCCAGGCATGTCATTAGGAGAGTGGAACAGGCTGCCCACGAAACAAGGGCAGTGAAGGCTTTGGGTCTGGACAGCACGACAGCCCACAACCAGCTGAGTGTGGCCAAGCAGGAATAGGCAGAGTGGGGACATCTTGTGACAACCCATCCTATCCCACCTACCAAAACCCCAAAAATCCACGTCCACGTGGAGTGGGCATTTGCTGACTGCCATGAGGTGTCTGCCCCACCTCCCCCTGCTCCCTGCTATACCAGGTTTCTGCTTGGGTGTCCACCACATGCCCATGTTCCTTGAAGGGGACTACTTGGTCCCAGCTTACGGGTGGTCCTGGTCAGGTTAGACCACCCAGCATAGCCCATTACCTTGGCTGCAGGCAGATACTCAGAGATGGGCAAGGGGCCTCTGTGGCCAGTCAGTGTAAGGCAGGGTCCTGCTGAGAATCCAGAGCGGGCAGCCCTTTGCTGTCGGCCTGCGCCTTGCGAAATGGAGCCCGCGCTTTGTGAAATGGAGCCCACGCGCAGAAGGCGAGGCTGGTGATGAGAGAAGGGCCCTGGGGGCATCCTTGGCGCCTCCTCTCTGGACTGCTGCTTCCACAAAACAGAATGTCCCTTCTCGGAAACCAGCTAGAGGTCAGCTCTGTGTTACCTGCAGTATCAGCAGCCTTGACACTTGTTTTAAATGTTAACATCTAATGCCACTCCTCAGCTGTGGGTTGGACTTGTCTCCCAATTCACAACCTCTGATCTAGTTCAACCTTTGTTTTCTTAAAGTGGGAACACCAAAGCCCAGACACAGAAAAGCCAACTGCTCTGGGTGACAGGGCTCTTCTGAAACCAAGGTGCCCACTTTGTGGAGTGGAGAGCAGATGTAAACAAAGCTGCTCGTGGGGCCTGAGCTAAGGTAGCACTTCTGGCTCTTAGAGGTCAGCAAACGTGCTTTGAAACGAAAGTGTGTGTGTTAGAGGGCTTAGTTTTTCAATAGCTTTTAAAAGTCTAGTTATCTGATTATTTAAAGACTCTGCTGCAACTATAGTCGAGAACAGCCTGACCTGACAGGCCTTCCAGCTTCAGTCCCAGCGACCACTCTCCTGAGCTGAGGGAGAAGACTGCATCTCAGATCTGAGGTGCCACATCACAGGGCAGCCACAGGAACTGTCTAGGTTAGTGGGTTTAGAAACATTCTACTCTATGGCGGGTGGTCCCCAGACTTGAACGTTTAGTGTTCTTAAGCCTAAGTATCCGGTGTTGAGACAAAACTCTACGTGTAACTGATAGTAACTGACAGTTTTTTGTAAAAACTAAGTATAACAGTGTTACGGTGCTTTGCCAGCTGCTGTGGATCCCAGTGGTTGGCTGAGATAGAACATACTTTCCCCCAACATCATTAGCTGATTTAAACATTTTAGTTTAGGAAAGATAAATTATCGTCAGTCCAGTTGGGCGGAAGAACCTTTAAGATACAAAATTCCAGAACTGCGTCCCCGGCCCTTGAGAGCTCCCACACAGGCCTGTCATGGTATGTGCTTCTCGACCACTGCTTTCTGGATCAAGTTTTTAAGTGGAACATTCTTCTACTTGTGTGATCCATACTTGACTATCCAATATGGTAGCTACTAGCCATATATGACTATTTACATTAAAATTAAATACAAATTTAAAATTAAAAATTCGATTCCTTAGTTGCACCATCCACTTTCCAAGTGCTCAG